TTAAAGCACAAAGCACTGGTTTTGAACTCCAGGCTCTTGCCCAGAAACAGAAATGGGTAACACAAACTTGTATTCTCTCTACCAAAATGGAGGCAGATGTCTTATAAACTAACCTTCGCTGTCCTCCTGATGTACTTCCTTTCACCTCCCCGTTCTCGTCTGTAAAGGAGTAAAATGCTAAAAGCTTATTATTCAGAATTTCTTGTACAGTTAACCGCATTGTTAGTTAGAAGGTAAATTTATAAAACATCAACAGTGACAGCAATTATATTCCAAAGCAAAACTGCCAACTCTTGAAAAATAAAAATGTCAGTGGGGTCTAAAATGTTATCCAAACTTTGGTTTTAAGAAACATAATACTAATATTTGATTCTTCATCGCAAAAGAGTGCCGATTTGCTCCTTGAACAATATACTATACTGCCTTTTCATGTTCCAAAACAGAATCAAGAGTGTGATCCCAGCTTTATAAAACTTATAAAAACTCCTAGCATTTTCAATTTATTCATAGGTATTAACAAAAAGAAAAAGGTCCATGGTCAAGTTAAACAGGTATTCTTACAGCCCTACTTTTCAGTCTTTTGTAAGATAATATCCAATAAAAACGATCAGAGGAGGGCTATCCCAGGCAGTGTTTCCCAATGTTACCTGTCAATAAAATGTTTCTAGCACCAGTGTCCAAGGAATTCACCCAGGAAAGAGAGCTGGATGTTTGTAATGACTCAGCCCCTTGCCATCCAGCCCTAGAGAGGCCTGGGCAGCCCCCAACCATGCCAGCCACCCCAGCCTTGGGGTCAAATGTTCCCACACCAAACAAGCTCCCAGATGAACACAGCTGTCCGCCCCCCCTCCCCCCGACCCAGTGAACCCAGCCAATGCCAAAAAATCAACTGTCTTCAGAAAGATAACAGGTCTCTCTCCACACACACACATCAAAAAGAAAAAGGAAATGTTGAACTCCCTGGGGTTAAGAGGACTTCAGTTCTTCAGGAATCAAGCTCCTGGCTCTATTCGAAGAGATGAGAGAAGGTAGATCATGTCATATACTTGCAGGGATGGGGAACCTTTTTTCTGCCAAGGGCCATTTGGATATTTATAACACCATTCAAGGACCATGCAAAATTATCGACTTAAAAATTAACCTGCTAGGGGGGTGGGAGTGGGGAGGAGGGGGTCAAAGGGAGCAAAAGGAGGGGGCGTATGTAATACTTTCAGCAATAAAGATAAAAAAGGTAAACACAAGCATTTAAAATAAATAAAGAGAAAGAAAAAGAAAAAAATTAGCCTGCTATATTTGATCAGGTTAATTTGGTGAGGTGTATGATGTTGATTTCTTGGACCGGTCATTCCCGACCGCTGTCATAGAGAATACAGGCAGCAACGGGAACATGCAGACAGGGTATTCAGGTTAAAGGAAAGGACCCACAGCGTCACATGGGCACACATGACACAATGCAAAGCACACCAGCGTGAACTCTTTTCTTTTTTTTTTTTTTTTTTTTTATTTTTTATCCTCGCCCGAGGACATTTTTCCATTTTTTGTTCAGATAGAGCGGGGGAGAGAGAGAGAGAGAGAAACATCGACGTGAAGGGACACATCGAGTGGCTGCCACCCGCACGACCAACCAGGGCCGGGGACAAACTGCAACCGAAGTACGTGCCCTTAGCGGGAACCGAACCCGGGTCTCTCCGGACCGCAGGCCGACGCTCTAACCGCTGAGCCAAACTGGCCAGGGCGTGAACTCTTTTCTAAAGAAACCAGTGACAAAGGCACCACCCTTGAAAAGTGCCCATTGAAGCCCTGGCCAGTTTGGCTCAGCGGTTAGAGCGTAGGCCTGCGGTCCGGAGAGACCCGGGTTCGGTTCCCGCTAAGGGCACGTACTTCGGTTGCAGTTTGTCCCCGGCCCTGGTTGGTCGTGCGGGTGGCAGCCACTCGATGTGTCCTTTCACGTTGATGTTTCTCTCTCCCTCTCTCTTCCTCTCTCTCCCTCCCACTCTATCTGTACAAAAAATGGAAAAATATCCTCGGGTGAGGATTAAAAAAAAAAAAAGTGCCCATTGAAGAAATACCTAAGCAAAAACGAAGAACTTGGTAATAAATGCCTTAAGTAATACTGGGATATCTCAGCCTGGACTAAACCACATCCAACCCACATTAGGAAGTTGCGCATTAGACACGTGGCAGAGCTGGTACTGGTTAAAAGTTCACTATTCTTCAAAGTAGAGGAATAGCCCAGCCACTGTGGCTCAGTGGACTGAATGTTGTCCCAGGGACTGAGAGGTCCCGGTTTTTATTCCCAGTCAGGGCACATGCCAAGGTTGCGGGCTCAATTCCTAGTAGGGGGCATGCAGGAGGCAGCTGATGAATATTTCTCTCTCACGTCGATGTTTCTCTCTCTCCCCCTCCTCCCTCTCTAAAAAAATCAATAAAAATATATATTTAAAAAATAAAAATAAAGTAGAGGAACAGAACACCAAATACCCAGAACCTACTGTGTATCCTTCGTAGTTAGCTTCCTTTCATCTTCTTCAAGTCCTATATCAGAACTCTAGTTCTTATCATTTAAAAAGCTACTGGGCCCTGGCCAGTTTGGCTCAGTGGTTATACTGGCAGCCCGAGGACCAAAGAGTCGCAGGTTTGATTCTGGTTAAGGGCACGTACCTCAGTAGCAGTTTGGTCCCTGGCCCTGGTCGGGTCATGCAGGAGGCAACCAGTCGATGTGTCTCTCTCATATCCATGTTTCTCTCTCTCTCTCTCCTTCTTTCTCTCTCTCTCCCTCCCACTCTGTTTGAAAATAAATGGAAAGATATCCTCAGGTGAGGATTAAAAAATAAGAAGAAAAAAAGGCTATTGGTAGATAACAGGTTTGGGGTTAAGAATCTAATATTCAAAATTACTCAAACAAGTAAATAAAAAGTCAATGAGCAAAGTTTTTAAAGTACAATCTCAGTACAATTCAAAGAAAGGCAATGAAAGAATGTCATTTTTCACCTCTTTAAATGGCAAAGATATTTTTTAAATTTGGCAAGGTTAAGGCCAACTACTGATGAGTAAGTGAACACATACAACTGTTCCAGAAGGTTTCGTGAAATACATATTCAAAGCCTCCAACATGCATGTACTATTTTGACCTACACATCACTTCTCTACAATTTTCCTAAGAAAATAATTTCAGGGTTAAATATTTTAGCTACCTATGATATTTACTGCAACACTGCTTAAAACAGCAAGGAAAGTTCTAGAAAAAGCTTCAGTGCACAGCAATAAATGGATGAATGGATAGTGTATACTCTACATGACAAGCTGCAGTAGGTCTCTTAACTGAATCCACTTAACACATTCACACAACTCCCCAGAACCCATCCCTTCCCAGCAGCCAACTCAGGGGCCCCAGTCGGTCGTAGGTAGATATGCAAAATGCTGTGCTGAAGGGCCAGGTGAGGCTCAGGACAGTAGTAGACACCGCAAGGGGACACGAAGACTGATGCTTGAGTGTCCCACAGGTTGGACTCCAGTAGTCACACCACACACCTCCACAACAGCTGTCTGTTCCCATGGCTGACTATGCCAGAAATGCTGGTTCATAGTAACTGTGATTTCCATATACACTAAACTACTATGATTTTCTTTAAAAGCATGCCAGCTAATTCTGAGGCAGAGCCAAGTTTGTGACTACTGATCTAGAACCCACACTAAGACTGCTTCCTCCCTGGGAGCACCTTTTCAGAGATGAGATTTTTCTTTTTTAATCCTCACCCGAGGATATTTTTTCCGTTGATTTTTAGATAGAGTGGGAGGCAGGGGGAGAGAGAAAGAGAAACATCGATGTGTGAGAGACAATCAATTGGTTGTCTCCCACACAACCGCAACCAGGATCGGGGAGCAAACCTGCAACCAAGTACATGCCCTTGACCAGGAATCGAACCCGTGACTCTTTGGTCCTTGGACTGACGTTCTAACCACTGAACCTAACCAGCCAGGGCAAGAGATGACTTTTTTCTTCTATGCAGCCCGGTCTTTGTCTCTTCTGACCTTGATCAACTTCCTGTCCCATCAAGAAGACACTGTGTTGGCTGCTGACTCATAGGAATACCTCCCTTTGGTGACACTGTGATATTGGGTACAGCCTCCCTAGGTGACACTATGATACTGGGTATAGCCTCCCTTGCTATAATCCTAGAAAGCAGTACAGTGTACTGGTCAAGAGTACCCTGGCCCCACACAGCCTGGTTCTGAATCCCAGCACCATCACGTACTTACAGCAGGACCTTGGCAAGTTCTCTTAACCTCTCTGTGCTTCAGTGCCCTGAGTGCCCTAACCCTGTGAGAGGATTACAGAACCTACTTCATAGTGTTGATGGAAGAAAGAAATGAGCTAATATGTGGCAAATGCTCCACAAGCATAAGCAGCTATGATTGTTGTTCTTGTTTTTAATGCTATATCCTGCCCAGCCACCAGCAGACGGTGCTAGGAGCTATCTAGTGAAAGAATGAACACACGGTCCTGTTTCCTCATCTGGCTCATCTTTGAACACCTCCGCTTATGGCTTTAGAGCTAAAGCTTCCCACAAATCTCTTGCAATGCCACATCTTTCATCAAATCCCTTTGCCCCAACTTTTCATCGACCCTCTGCTAACAAGAAAGCTGGAAAGCAGAGGGAGGCAAAAACACTAAGGAAGCCCTGGCCAGTTTGACTCAGTGGTTGAGCGTCAGCCTGCAGACCAGAGAGTCCCGGGTTCAGTTCCTCCTTGAGGCACATACCACAAAAAAAAAAAAAAACCCACTAAGGAATCATGTAGGTTTGCTGGGATTTAGACGATACAGAGGAACAGCAGCAAAGGGCAGGCTGAAAGAATGCCCTCCAAATGCCTTGGCGAGGAGCCATGGGCATACTGACAGTCTGTGATATGTGAAAGAAAGAAATGTTTTCAATGGCATGAAAAGGCATCTGTCCCACTTTCTTCAGCAGACAGGACGCAACATGGTGGGTTCACAATTTAAATCATTTTGAAAGTGTTTATTATTTAGTAACTGTCTCTCCCTCTGCCCCACCCAGCCGCTCTCTGGTTCTGCTTTTCTAACCATCCTAAAAGCTGAATACATTCTCTTTCTCTATGGAGGAGAAGTATAAACACTAACACCAGGACACGTGGTGAGGCCTTCATCAGGCACTACGTCACTGAGGAACGCTGGTCTCCAGCAAGCGTGGGTTTCTCTGGGGTTCCACAAGGTAGTCCTTTTTCAAGGCCATCGGTACACTCATGGAGTTAAAATGCCGCTGCCCGTCTAAATACAACATGGACTCTGAAACACAAGAGAGAGAACCGTGGAGAAACCCTCAGCAACTCAGAACCACGTGGTACAAACACGAGACTACTCAGAACACCGGGACAGCAATGAGAACGCAGAACCAGTGCTTGGCAAGTGCTACTGGGCCACGGGTGTGCAAGGTTCCCGAGGGAGCGGGCCTCGACTCCTGCCTGCCCCTTTCCTTTCGCTCGACCAGTCTTTGACCACCAGTGGCTGCTTGCAGCTGGCACCGGCCCTTCAGACAACAGCCCGGTGGGCAGAGTGGCCACAGCTGCCTTTGGGGCCACAAGGCATCCTGGCCTTCAGGGCTGCAGAACCTCAAAAGCACAATCTCCTAAAGATATGCTCTCGAGCCAGCTAACAGACATCAGTGTACTTCCTACAACAAGTTGAAAGGAGAAACTTTATTTAAAAGGTCCTCGCTTTGTTAGGGACAGGCAATCATGGCTGCTTACCTCCATATGTTCTGGGGAAAACCAAGGGCACGTTGTTCTCCGACATGAACGTGAAATGAAAGATGTTGGTGGTCATGTGCTCTTTATTTTGCAGAGAAGCCACTTCACTGTGGACTCTGACTTGAATGTAATTGTCTTGAGTAAAGCAAACCTAAGAGATTGTAGACATGAGTCAGCCAATCATATTGGGAAGGGGGAACAAGGCAGTCACAAGAGAAGCAGTAGCTTTAGGATATCAGAACTTCTGTCCTGGCCAGTTTTGCTCAATGGTTAGAGCATTTGCCTATGGACCAGAGAGTCCCGAGTTCAGTTCCCCCTAAGGGCACGTACCTTGGCTGCGGTTCGTCCATGGCCCTGGTTGGAGTTGTGTGGGAGGCAACCAGTTGATATGTCTCTCTCACATCGCTGTTTCTTTCTCTCTCTCTCTCTCTCTCTCTTCCCCTCCCACTCTGTCTGAAGATAAATATAAAAATATCCTCAGAGGAGGATAAAAAGAAAAAAAAACTTCTCTTCTAGGCCCAAATGATCAAAAATTGTATGTTATCTACCTGGGAAGACAGAAACAGCAATGAGCCAACATCGACAGGTCTCTGGAACATGATATCATCCACTGCTACTACAAATGGCCGGGAACCACTGTTGGAAAAGGCAGAATTTGGGGTCAAGTGCAAAATTCAGATGATCTCTATTTTTCCTCTAACAACTGGCTGAAGCAAAATTTAAATGATCAAAGAACAAAGCTAGAGAAGGGGAAATAATCATACCAGCGAGGAACGGTAAGGCATGCCACTGTGACCAGATCAGTGCCAAAGTCACCATAACTTTTCCCTTCAGCATATCATCACCTCCTTTTCTCAGTAGGTCTTTACAGACAGACCCCAGAGATATTGCAGGTTCAGTTTCAGACCACCACAATAAAGTAAGCATTGAAATAAAGCGAATCATAACCTTTTTGCTGGTGGAGGGTCTTGCCTTTAATTTGTAAAAAAAAAAAAAAAAAAACCACAAATCTGCCATTGCCGGTTTGGGTCAGTGATTAGAGCATCAACCCAAGGACCGAAGGGTAGTGGGCTCAACAGCACATGCCTGGGATGCAGGTTCGATCCCTGGCCTTGGTCCGGGTTGTGCATGAGGCAGCCAATCAATGTGTCTCCCGCATCGATGTTTCTCTCTCTCTCTCACCCTCCCTCCCTCCCTTCTACTCTATCTAAAAATCAATAGAGCCCTGGCCGATTTTGCTCAGTGGTTAGAGCGTCAGCCCGCAGACCAAAGAGTCGCAGGTTCAATTCCGGTCAAAGGCATGTACCTCAGTTGAGGTTCAGTCCTAGGCGCTGGTCAGGGTCATGTGGGAGGCAACCAGTTGATGTGTGTCTCTCACATGGATGTTTCTCTCTCTCTCTCTCCCTCAAACCCTATCTGAAGATAAATGAAAAAATATTCTCGGGTTATGATTTAAAAAAACACACAACATCTGTAAAGTGCAATAAAGCAGAGTGTAATAAAATGAGGAATGCCTGTAATGTACTAACTTACCTAGTCAGAGTAACAGCCTTCTAAAATGAGGATCAAACCCAGCTGGTATCAGTGAGATATTTATTTTAAAACAAAACAAATTTCCCAACACATCCAGACCGATCCAAAATGTTTCATTTCAGTAGGCTCTTTCTGGAGTATACCCATGCCTTTTCTTTCTTGGGCGTGTTCAAAATAATGTTTCATTTCCCTAAAAATTGCTTCTGAGAAGTTAAGACTACCCTAAATCTAACTTACCCAAAATTACAAGCAGTAGCCCATCCAAGCTCATATGCTTTCCTCATAAGGAAACCACCAAAGATCCGATTGAAAATGTTCCTCTCCTATAGGAGATCAAATGAACAATAAGAAATACAAGCTCATGGCCACCCTCATGTACAGAACAAAGGAATTAACAATGCCGAAGAACAGAGGCCAGTTTAAAGCATCAAAACTTAGATGAGTATCCCAGATGCAAGTTGGTCTATTTAGAAGATTTTCCACCAAATCACAATACCTGAGGGTGGCAAATTTCCAAGCTCTTCAGTTTTGAATCCTCCATCCACACTGCATTAGGGGGCAAAATTCGACTTCGAAAACTTATAGTCCTGAGCAAATAGAGATCGAGTGAACCCAGTTAGGGCCATGGTTTTGCTGCTGGAAGGTGAAATATTTTGAAATTTCCAGTATGTTCAGGCAAGCCCGGTTCTAGAGAAGGCCAAGGTTTAAATGCTTTCCCAACGTAGACTCTCACCAGCCTAACTTACTTTTGATCCAGCGTGTTAAGAAACATCTCATGTATGGTCATCCTCTCCTCAGCACTGGGAGCCATTTTCAGTAACGACTTGGAGCTGAAGGAGATCCTTCTCCCCTTGTTCACTGAAACATGGGACAATATGGACTCACGGTCAGGAAGGTTACACTACATACTGGGGTTCCTGACCTGGGCTGCCTGGGACCCTACAAAGACAGTATTTCCAGACCGTGACAATCCCACTGGAAATTGTACATATATCTCACAAAAGCTTTCTGTGATTCTTTGCTTGCACAAAGAAATTGTATCAGTTCAGTGTAAAGCCACTTATAATCATCCTGAACTCGAGCCCCAACCAGTAGTTATTTCATTAAGATATACTTCCCATTTCATTAAAAATGAGGAAAAAATACTTCAATTAATAAATATTGGCTGATCGATAAAACTGTTCAAAGTATAGACTTCATGGAACAAAAAATAAGGTATTTTAAATTTCAATACATTCTTGGAATGAGTAAGACACCTGACTGGTATGAGGAGGCCACACATACTCTTAAATAATCTCCTCTGCAGTACAATTAATGTGCTTTTAAATGTTTATCTTATTATAAGCAAATTAATATACATTCTCCTTGTCTAAAGAGCTCTTCTTCCTCAGGGCCTTCAGGGATGAGTGGATTTACAAATGCCGACCTAAAGAGAAGAAAAGAGTAGAGTTGAAGATGTTATCTAATATAAATGGAAGATGAACAATTACCTACTAGTTTTCAAGTCTTTGCTGTTTGTTTTGGGTCACCCTTACTGCCTGCTTCACGCAAGAACTGTAAAACAATTAGGGGAGGCTTCTGGTTATAGACTTACCTGCACAGTACAAAGTTCATATTATAAAAACGACATGGCAACTTGCCAAAATGTTTCACCTGATCCTAATCATGAGGAAACAGTCAGAATAGGTTGTAGAACATTCTATAAGACAACTGGCCTAGACCCTTCAAAAATGTCATGTCTTAAAAGACAGAAAATGGCAGAGGAACTATTTTAAAGAAACATGGTAACCGCCCAACCAGTGTGGCTCAATTGGTTGAGCGTTGTCCCATGCACCAGGAAATTGCCGGTTCAACTCCCAGTCAGGGCACATGCTCAGGTTGCAGGCTCAATCCCCAGTGGGGGACATGCAGGAGGCAGTCCATCAATGTTCCCTCTCATCGATGTCTCTCTCTCTCTCTCTCCCTCTCTCTTCCTCTCTCTGAAATCAATAAAAACATATGTTTAAAAAAACAACATGGTAACGAATTGCAATACATGATCCTTGATCAGATCCTGCCTTAGGGGAAAAAGCTATAAAGGATATTTTAGGGACAAATGGCAAAGTTTGAATATGGATCATATATTACATAATACAACTACATCACTGTCAAATTTCTTGGATATAATAAAAGCATTGAGGTTATGTAGGAGAATTACCTTATTCTTAGGAGATACATGCTGAGCTATTTATGAGTAAAACAGTCTCAAACTTTCACATGATTCAGGGGGAAAACATGTGTATGTCTATATTTATAGAGAGGGCAGAAAAATAGGCTGGTGGGAAAATGTTAATTGGTGAATTTCAGTGAAAGGTGTATATAAGTGCTCACTGCATTAGTCTATTTTTCTGTAGATGTCAAATTTTGTAAAATAAAAAAAAAATGAGCCCAGCCAGTGTGGCTCAGTGGATTGAGCGTCATCCCATGGACTGAGAGGTCCTGGTTCAATTCCTGGTCAGGGCACGTGCTCAGGTTGCAAGCTTGATCCCCAGTAGGGGGCGTGCAGAAGGCAGCCGATATATGTTTCTCTCTCACATCGATGTTTCTCTCTCTCTCTCCCTTTCTCTCTCTAAAAAATCAATAAAAACATATAAAAAATGAGCAAAAAGGAAGATAGTGTTTCACTGTGGTAGAATCTAAAAGTCTGATGAAACAGCAGTGGAAACAAAAGAACTGAAATGGCAGTTTGGAAAATTGAAATACATCAGCTGGGAGAGGAACTTGAAGTAATACCCCCAGTTCTGGCGAAGGAGCCCCAGGCCAAGCACCAGGAGGAGCAAGTAGGTCAGCTGGGGCTGGTGGGAGGACTTAGACTAGATGGGTGTACTTGTCACTCAGATCAGTCACCAAGGTATTTTTCAATCTTAACATAATTTTCCATGTCAGCTTTCCATGCAGCGGAAATGACTTCTCATTGCAGACTCCTCACTCAGGTTTCTAATACAAATTAACTTCCCAAAGGCCTCTAGACTCTATCCTCTACAAACAGCAATCCTGTAATACCCCCTCCCACCCCACTCCCCCACACACAATTAGATGGATTTTTCCTCAGTTTGAAGGCCTTGGGTGTAACTGTTCTTAGGAACCAAGAATTCATTTTAAGAGAAAAAAAGATAAAGTATAAAGCCTATACGGTTAAACTTGACTTGAAAATGACACTATAAACTCATGAGGTTGTTTTTTTATTTGCCTTATAACATACAACCAAGCTCTGTCCACTGAAAAGGCCTAGACACAATGATAAACTAGTAACAGCACCCAGTTCTAGTGTCCAGATTTTGGTCTCTAAATACCAGTTCTCACTAATGGAATCCTTGGAGAAATGGCTGATTTTAGGCCAGGGCAGGAAATGTGTAAGATGAGCCCAAGATATCTCGTTGCACCAGATAGCAAGCAGGTATCAAAGACTAATGGGGAAATGTCACAAAAGCTTATCACAGGAGCCAGTTTAACAGAACTCCTACTGATCAAAGATAGTATACTCTGAGCAGCGAGAGCAATGGCTGCAATTCGTGGAAATACATTTATATTTTTAAATCCATGAATTTACAATGACACTTTTTTTAAAAGTGGAAAAACCATGTCATCACTAGCTAATTAACCAACTCGTTATTTTGCAAATTGGTCAATAAAGGGCAAGAATGAAACACTGCCCTGGACTTCCCTTTACGAACCAAATTGCCCTAGTTGATAAGGGGAAAAGCTCTTCTTTACAGAACTCCAACTAATAAATGTTGAAGGAATGACAGAATTTGAGAATCATTTTACACTCCCACATGGTTAAAGCAATGATCAACAAAGGACATTAACAGCCCTGGAGAAAGACTGATGGGGAGCTAGCTATGTACAAAGTATACTTTCAATCCACCCTGCACTGCATTGTGCCCTGTAGATCACTGCTGATCATAAGTGGATAAGCTGATCTTTATAGAGAAAAGATCAGTCACTACTTGAATCCACGCGTCAATCTTAGCATCACTGTGGGTGAGACAACATATACCTCCTGATATGATGCGATGTGAGATACGAAGTGCATAGAGAGCAAGACCTATGAAGTGCTCTCCCCAAATATGCTGACCCTGAATCTAATCAGACTTTAGAGCTAACTTCAGTTTACAGAAAATACTGGGAGAACAAGTCCAAGAAAAAAAAATGCCATGAGGAGGCAATGAGATAAATTCAGAAAGTTGGATATTGTATAGAAGAACCAAACCGGTGCTTCAGTGAGTTCATAAAACAATAAGTGGACAGGGGGAGCGCATAACTATTCTAGATTGAAACAGCCTTTAGAGACCACACAACTCTGTGATCTGTGAATACACTAAAACCCATAAAATTGTATACTTTCAATGGGTAAATTGGATGATATATGAATTATAACTCAATAAAGCTATTAACCAACAAAACAGGCTTACAAAACATAAAAATCCAATGTAGTATGTGGACCTTGTTTGGATCCTATTTTGAACAAATCATTAAAAAGATATTTGGGGGCACCGTGGCCAGTTTGGCTCAGCAGTTAGAGTGTTGGCCCACAGACCAGAATCACAGGTTTGATTCCAGTCAAGGGCCCATACCTCGGTTGCCATTCAGTCCCTAGCCCTGGTTGGGGTCGTGCAGGAGGCAATCAATCGTGTCAATGTTTCTCTTTCTCTCTCTCTCTCCCTCCCTCCCTGCCTCCCTCCCTCCCTTCCTCCCACTGTAGCTGAAGATAAATGGAAAAATATCCTCAGGTGAGGATTTAAAAAAAAAGATATTTGGGGAAACTGAATATGAATTATTAGAGTATACTAAGGATTTACTAGTATTTTTGTTAGGTGTGCTAATGGTAACATAGTTAAGAAAATATCCTGATTTTTAAAGAAATGTCTACACCAAAGCATTTAGAGGTGAAATGTCATTATGTCTGGGATTTGCTTTAGCCCTGGCCAGTTTGTTCAGCAGTTGGAGCGTTGGCCTGAGGTCCCGAGAGACCCAGGTTCAGTTCCCACTAAGGGCATGTACCTCTAAGGATTTACTAGTATTTTTGTTAGGTGTGCTAATGGTAACATAGTTAAGAAAATAGCCTCATATTTAAAGAGATGTCTACACCAAAGCATTTAGAGGTGAAATGTCATTATGTCTGGGATTTGCTTTAAAATATTATGCAGAAAATAATATACTTTAAAAAAAGAAAAGATGAAGCAAATATGGCAAAAATGTTAAAACTCTTAAGTCTAGGTCAGCGGTTCTCAACCTGGGGGTCGCGACCTCTTTGGGGGTTGAACAACCCTTTCACAGGGGTCGCCTCAGACCATCGGAAAACACGTATTTCCGATGGTCTTAGGAACCGAGACACTGCTCCTCTATCCCCGGGTGGGTCCGCCCACATGCAGATACGCCCACAGACAACATGAGGAGCTGTATTAAAGGGTCGCGGCATTAGGAAGGTTGAGAACCACTGGTCTAGGTGACAGGTAGACAGACATTCATTATACTCTTCTCTCCGGTGTTATGTACATTTGAAATTTTTCAAAATGAAGAATTAGGAAAAAAAAGAACAATTACCCCTTATTTTCAGAATCACGAGCCACCATTACAAATGTTGCTTCCAAAACAGGACAAAATTCACTGCCATGTAACTGAAGAACAAAGGAAAGAAAATGCAGATGTAAGAAATGCATTTCCTGGGAAGGCCTGCTACAATTCTAACAGACAGTGCGCATGCTTTGAGAAAGACTGAAACCAGAAAAAGAGAAGTGCATTCATGAACCACCAGCTGCTGAGTTGCCAGGCACAGAACTAGGTTCTGGGTGGGGACAGCGGTGTAACCAGGAGCCTGTGGTCTAGCAGGAGGAAGACACCCAAAATCCCAAACACTGCACTGCGCGAAATGCTGGGATGGACATGAATTACAGGCTCTGGAGCTGTGCATGCTAGGGACCCAACGGCAGCGGTCACAGAAGGACCTTCGGCATCATCATTTCACTGTCCTGCTGCATGCAGAATTCTGGCTTCCTTCAGGTCTACCTGCCCTCAAAATGGCACACAGCCAGGTGGACCTCCCGCCGCTCTCATAGATATTAGCATTTTCAGGGAACCTTAGTGTGCCAACTACCAGCATATGTTTATGATTCCTTAGCCAAGCACAGGGGCTCCCAGGAAGGGATAAGATCTGTGATACTTCTGTGGATTATGCTAAATATTCACAATGCACAAGCCTTTGAGGTTTTAAGTGTTGCTTTATCCCTTAGAAGTCTGTACTTCCAGGACAATCATATATCACAGTCCTATTATAACCTGAGGGTACGTTCAGTTCCTTCCTCATCACTAATGCCTGTTCAGGCCCTAATACCTTCCCCTCGACTTTCTTCTAGCAACTGCTCGAGCCTGTTGGCCCTGTATATAAAGCCCCCACCACAGAGCCCAGATTCCTCTCCAGCTGTTCACAAACACTCCATCATACCTGTGCCTTTTCCTCCAGCCACAGCTAAAACTTGGAGGTCCTGGAATGGACCATGCTATAGAACACCTCCACTCCATGCCTTTGCCCAGTGCCTTCCTCATGGCTGCATTCATCACAAACCGCTCCTTCCTGGCCCAGGTAGCAAACAGTCATCCCTACTCCCTAGGCACAGCTCATGATTCCCTCCTTTGTTCGCCAGCTAAATGGAGACAGAGTCCTGTCCTGACAGTGGTCCTCGCCCCCACACAAGGCATTTGGAAATGTGTAGGGTTGATCTGGGTAGTCATATGTCTTGGGAGACATTACTAGTGGGATTGGGGTAAGCAAGGAGCTGTACACTTCACAATGCAGGGGACAGTCCTGCAGAACAAATAATTTTCCCACATACAATGCCAGTAGTGTCCCTGTGGAGAAATGCTGCATAATACTTAACATACTATATCATGATCATTTATTTATGTGGCTGCCTCTCTGCTGTACCATGAGTTCCTTGAGGACAAAGTTCATTTTCAGCCCTGGCTGGTTTGGCTCTGCGGCTAGAGCGCCCGCCCGTGGACCAATGAGTCGTAGGTTTGATTCTGGTCAAGGGCACATGCCTGGGTTGCAGTTCATCCCTGGCCCTGGCCATGCTATTGAACACACAGTGTGGGAGACAACCTGTCGATGTGTCCCTCTCATGTCGATGTTTCTTTCTCTCCCCCTCCCTCTCTCTCTTTTGCTCCCTCCCTCCCACTCTATCTGAAGATAAATGGAAAAATACCCTCAGGTGAGGTTCTTTTTTTTAAAGATCATTTTCATTCACATTTGTACCCCAAGCACTTGGCACAAAAATTGGCAAATAGCAGTTACCTGACCAACGACTGCCAGTGTATGAACTGAGGCAGGTAATTTTGAGGACTACCAGAATATAAAGTCCAAGAAAATGGAAGTGTGTTTTGCCCACGGCTGCACACCTAGCACAGAGTGGCATGGAATAAATGATTGCTAAGTGAATGTTAAATGAGTGGACGTCACAATTGGGCTAGGTGACTCACACCCAGATCCAGTTGTTGAGAAGCATATGGTCTAGTGGAAAAAAACATGTTCCTACACAGCTCCGAGGAGCAGGGATTAGCAGGTCACAGATAGGGTACTGAGGAAGGCATCGTGGGAAAGAACAGGTACTGTGAGCTGGGAGGATGAGGGAAGGATTCGAGCGTGGAGTAACCCAGAAGCACAAGTGGAATGTGGATGTGCAGAGCCAGAACACAAGGATTTTGGGCAAAGGAAAAAGCATAAGCATTGATACTCAGCCACTTGCTTACTGTTTAAATTATGGTTTATTATAATGAACACCTACTAGCGCCAAGCACTGGGAATGCAAAACTGAACAACTCCCTACTCTTAGGATGCTCCAAGTGTCCAGCAGTGAGCTCTAAGAAGGTATATAAATGATACTGGAGGTGGAGAGGTATGCTGGAGCTAGTTTATGGAGCACCTTGCCTTGGATCCTAACTAGTCAAAGGAGTTTAGACTTTAATGCATAGATAATGGTCAAGGTTTTTGAGGAGAGTGATATGATTTAAGATCAGCTTTGGAAGATCTATCTAAAAAAATGTATAAAATGAATAGAGGGTGAGACAGGCTAGAGGCAGGCAGACTAATTAAAAGACAGTTCAGGTGTTCACACAAGAGGCAGTGAGGGTTTGGATAGAACACAGGGCACAAGGGCAAGGGGAAGAAAGAACCCTGACAAGTTGCTGAGGGTGATGAATTTGTAAGATTTGGCAAAAGGCTGCACAGGAAAGAGAAAAACTTAAGCTATCATAAAGGTTTGGAGCTGGAAACCAGGAGGCTGGCAAAGGGGAAAAATTGAAGGAACATCAGGATTACAAAGGAAGCTAACACACTCAATTTAAAATGCACTGGAGCCCTGGCCGGTCTGGCTGGTTTGGCTCAGCGGTTAGAGCATCAGTCCATGGACCAGAGACTCCTGGGTTCGGTTTCTGCTAAAGCACGTACATCGGTTGCAGTTTGTCCCCGGCCCCAACTGGGGTCGTGTGGGTGGCAACCAGTCGATGTGTCTCTCTCATATCATGTTTCTCTCTCTCTCTCTCTTCCTCCCTCTCTATCTGAAGATAGATGCAAAAATGTCCTCTGGTGAGGATAAAAAAAAATAAAATAAAATGCACTAGAGCCCTGGTCGGTTTGGGTCAGTGGTTAGAGCATCAGCCTATGGACCAAAGAGTCCCGGGCCAAGGACACATACCTTGGCTGTGGTTCATCCCTGGCCCCAGTTGGGGTCATGTGGGAGGCAACCTATTGATGTGTCTCTCTCACATTGATGTTTCTCTCTGTCTCTCTCTCTGCCTCTCTCTCTCTCACTCTCTCCCTCCCTCCCACCCTCCCTCCCTCTCTCCCTCTCTCCCTCTCTCCCTCTCTCCCTCTCTCCCTCTCTCCCTCTCTCCCTCTCACTCTATCTGAAGATAAATGGGAAAATATCCTCAGGTGAGGATTGAAAAAAAAAAAAGTTTAATGCACTGGACTGGAGGTAGCAAGAGCCCATGTGGGGGAGATATAACAGGTACTTGGAAAGGTAAGCCTGAAGGTCAAGCCCAGAACAGAGATTTGGCACTACCTCCATAGTAATAATAACACATTAACATTATTCTCAGCACTTGATTAGTGGTTACTGTGTGACAGGCAACGTACCGGATTCTTTATATGGGTGCACTGTTTTCCATTTCACCTGTACCACACATAACATGGTACTATTACTGCTTCCATGTCGTACTTAAGAAAACAGAGGCTCAGAGAAGGTAACTGATTTACCCACAGTCGCCTGGCTAATAAGCAGCAGAGCTGGGATTTGAACCTACGTGCAACCAAACCAGAGGCAACTATTGCCAAGTTCCCTCCCTGGAATAGAAAGGATCACTCAAGCAATGAGTTATTAGGCAAAACAGCCAGTGAGAAATGCAAATTTAAAACAAAAGTCTGTACTTCCTGACAGTGATTTTCATTGGTTCTCTGCTCCCAATAATTCCTGTGTCTTTTTTTCAACCTACTTGTCCAAGATTCAAATTGTCAAGAATCTCTAAAACGCTGGTCCTATGGCAGCAATCTGTTGCATGTGGTACTGGGCACGCTAGAAATAGGGCATGGAAATTTTCAAAGAATGTGGACAGCCCTGGCCGGTATGGCTCGGTTGGTTGGGCATCATCTCATGCACTGAGAGGTCACCATTAAGATTCCCAGTCGGGGCACATGCCGGGGTTATGGGCTCAATTCCTGGTGAGGAGCCTGCAGGAGTGGCTGACTGATGTTTCTCTCTCTCTCATCAATATTTCTCTTTCTCTCTACCTCTCCCTTTCTCTAAAATCAATAAAAAAATATATTTTTAAAAAGTATGTGGACAAATCATAGCAGCATCCCCAACAACTTTATTATGTTTTATTTCAAAAACAGAGTTACTGGCCCAGCCCATGTGGCTCAGTGGATTGAGCACTGTCCCATGGACTGAGAGGTCCTGGTTCAATTCCTGGTCAGGGCACATGCCCAAGTTGTGGGCTCGATCCCCAGTAGGCAGCATGCAGGAGGCAGCTGATCAGTATTTCTCTCTCACATCAATGTTTCTATCTCTCTCTCCCTTACTCTCTCTCTAAAAGATCAATAAAAACATATTTTTTTAAAAAACACTATTACTATCCCTTACAGTTACACAGGAGTTACACACCTGGAACATTTTCATCTTCACTTCCATAGATGTCTTCCCAACCCAGCTAACATGGCCACTGAACTTGATGTCCTGTTCTGGGCTTAAGTTTTTCTTACACATATCTGCAATACAGAAAATCAATCTGAGTTCAAATCATACCTCAAATTTCCTGTGCTGTAAATGGGTAATTACGTTTGAAATGTGGGTAAATTCCACTACATCTTTCTGTCTTCCAAAAATAATGACTTTTTTGACATACAAAAAAAATTTGTATGTCTCTTTTAAAAATGTACACAATACAAAGAATATTAAAAAAATTAAACTGGAACCACACAAAATCCTTCCACTCAAAGATAATTATAGTAAATATTTTGGTATATAGCATTCTAGACATTTCCACATGCATATATACATAAAAATCCCCCCATAAAATTCTAATCTCAATAATATCTTGTAATTAAATTGGTTGTTACAGAACCATGGGGATGTAAACTACAGCATAGGGGATATAGTCCAAATATTCTAATAACTATGTATGGTATCAGAAACAATATTTATCAGGATGATCACTTAATACGTTATATAATGTCTAATCAGTGGGGTGTATACCTGAAACTAATATAATATTGTATGTCAACTGTAATTTCAAAATAAAAAATAATTTAAGTTTTTAAAAAATAATATGTTGTAAATATTAAGAATTCTAAGTATGCATAGAAAATAATATTGCTGCCCTGGCCTGTTTGGCTCAGCTGTTAGAGCGTCGGCCTGAGGGCCAGAGAGACCCAGGTTTGGTTCCCGCTAAGGGCACATACCTCGGTTGCGGTTTGTCCCCAGCCCTGGTTGGTCGTGCAGGTGGCAGCCACTCGATGTGTCCCTTTCACATCAATCTTTCTCTCTCTCTCTCTCTGTTCCTCTCTCTCCCTCCCACTCTACCTGAACAAAAAATGGAAAAATGTCCTCGGGTGAAGATAACAAAAAAGAAAATAATATTGCTTACCAATTTTGTCCACCAGGGCTGTAACTATCGATAAAGGAGACATCTTAATTGAATGATCTCTGGTGTGCATGTAGCAAATAAGAACTGTAGGAAAACAGAAGAGAACCAAATAAAGGCAAAGCAAATTATTTCTCAACATTTACAATTTACTCCCTGCAATCTATAAAAAGTCTTATCTTGCTTTGAAGACACCCGCACCACCACCATGTTCCAGGAGTGGTCTTATCCTAGGACCCAAGACATTTTATAAACTGAAGAGATTTGGGGATCCTCTAATCTAACTACCCAATCAGCTTTAGATTTGGTGAGGAAATTGAAGCCGAAAGCCCAGGCCTACCAGGTGGCTTGTCACCGCTCCACAGAGACACAGTGTCTAAGTGAGGAAAAGACCCCAGCACATAAGTCTGATAGCATCAAACATCTTCAGAAAAGAAAAACAATCACAGGAACTCAGCTATCTGTTTTCCTCCTGACTCTTTCCTAATCATGAAGCAATTAATCTGCTCAGAGTTATCCCGCCTTACCCATAACACCCTTGGCTCCTACACCACCCTGTGGTTATCTGTATACTTTCCATATTTTAGCAAGCATTTGAATGTGCCAAGCATGGTTCTATGCTTACAAATATCAATTCATTGACAGTTATATTATACTTCTGTATTTAGTGGCCTCCTTGCTTCCTCCATGATTCATTCAAACGTGTATCATCAGCCCACAGGACTGGGCCTGAGCTCAGTAAGTATTTGCTGTGTGACAATAAATTCTTCCACTCATGCACCTGCTACAAGGATGTACTGGAGAAATGAGAGGCTAAAGGCAAAGAAATTCCACTTAAAAGCCTTTGTGGTACCCATAAAAGAAACCATATACGTCTGGCTATGACAATAGTAGTAGACTACAATGAAGAGAACACAAAACATCCAAGAGCTAAGAAGAAGGGAGATTTGACAAGACTTGACTAAAGCCAGGTTTCTAGCTGATATGAATGAAAGACGGTGTACCATTCCCTAAAAGAGAGAATACAGGAAAAGGAAAAGAAGCTGTTGTCCACATGTTCACTTCCAGAAGTCTATAACCATCCAAATGAAGATATCCGGGAGACAGGAGGACAAACTGGTCTGGAACTCAGAAAAGCAGGCCAGGAAATGTACCCTCCTCAGCATTCCCAACACTGGTATCAACTAAAACATGGGGAGTAAATGAGATTACTTCTAGAGATTGTGCACATAACCAAAAAAGGGGGGCAGAAGACAAAACCCTGGGAATAACTGACATTTAAGGGATCAACAGAGACAGAGAAGCCTACATGGGAAACTAGGAAGGAGAACCCGAGAGGCAGGAGGAACAGGCACCAAAGCCCAAGGACAAATCTGACAATACTGGGAGCCGCCAAGGGGCCAAGTGAGCCCTGAAGAGCACCCAACAGACCATGCAATGAAGGGGCCAATGGAGAGCCTGGCAAGAGCAGTTCAATGGCATGAGAAGAAGCCAGAACATGGCAAGCTGGGAAATAACAGGAGGTCAGGAGACACAGCCAAGGAGAGCGAATGATTTTTTGTCTAATTCTTTCCAGAAAGTTAGCTCTGAAGTGGGAGAGAAAGATAGTTGGAGAGTGTTACAGGAAAGGAGATTTTGCCTATTTTTCATTTTAAGATTAAAAAAAGACTTAAATATGTGATAGGCAAGTTCCTTGAAGAAATCAAGGGAAAAGAATCCAGTAACACGTGAAAGAGATTGGCCATCAACCAGAGATGAGGAAAAAACAGGGTAGTGGCAGAGGAGTTTGTATATTTAGGGACACTTAAGAAAATCAAAGTCAAATATGTGCATGTGTAATTTTTTTTATCCTCATCCGAGGATATTATTCTCATTGATTTTTTTTTAAGAGAGAGTGGAAGGGAGGGAGAAAGGGAGAGAAAGAGAGGGAAACATCGATGTGAGAGACACACATTGGTTGCCTCCCGAACTACCTCAACCAACGCCGGAGACTGAACCTGCAACCCAGGTGTGCCCTTGATGGGGAATCAAACCCACAACCCTTTGGTCCGTGGGCTGACGCTCCAACCACTGAGCCACACTGGCCAGGGCACATGTATAATTTTTATAAAGGCCAATAAAAAATTTTAACCCGGTTTATTTAATCTGAAGACAAAAGTAGCTAGGTGTAAGCCTAACAATGGACTTATGTCTATATTTTTTAAGTTATTAGAGCCTTTCTTTAAACCCTTTCCCATAGTTCAGTCCACAAGTCATCTGGTGGGTGCAAACAAGGTGGCCCAGAGTAGGGTGCTGAAAGCCAAGTAGGGTCAGGAAGACATGCAGAGAGACAACAAGAGCGATGGCCCAGCATTGTGCACCCTAAGCACAATGAGGAGGGTGACCTGCAGAAGGGGACCTGGCAAAGAGTGGAACCCCAGTGAGGTGAGGGGAGTATCCATGAGGGACTAGGAGTGGCAGAGATATAAAATTGGCTACATCCCGGGGAACTGATCAAGTAAGCAAATGTATTAAGGATCATGGAGCCAGCTGGAGAAGGCAATTACAGATATAAAAAGGGAGAAAATAAGAATGAAACCATGGTGATGACCTGGAACTATCAGTGTGAACCCATGGTCCCCACAGACAGACAGATAAACACAGAGATAAATGTGTGCATGTGCATATATTCCCCAGCTCATTCAATGAAAAGGCAACAGCAATGACCACTCCCAGCACCTAGATCTTGGTTTCTAAATATCACTCTCCATTAAAAAGAATGGAGGCTCCTTAGAGATCTGGCTGGTTCCAGGACTGGGGCAGGGAAAGTACAAAGGAACCTAGAACATCTTGCCATGCCAGAAGGACACAAAGTGCTCAAAGGATGATGGGGACACATAAACACACACACACACACACACACACACACACACACACACACACCAGTTTGAAGGGACTAGGACTATCCTGGGACAATCTGCGCATCAAAATCAATGATAGTAACATATTATAACCCATTCAATAAAATGGGAATCCCAGAGTCCATATTTATTTTAAAGTAGTAAGTTGAAAGTCTTATGAGGAATGGTTACAAGGTCCCAAAGTACCTCCCTACAAGGTACTTATATAGTTACAAAGGGGGGAAAAGTAACTTTAGAGTGAAGAAGCCTGGCAAACACCACCTTCAACAAGGAATCAAAGTTAACAACACAGCCCTGGCCGGTTTGGCTCAGCAGTTAGAGCGTCGGCCCACAGATCAGAGAAGCCCGGGTTCAGTTCCCACTAAGGGCATGTACCTTGGTTACAGTTTGTCTCTGGCCTTGGTTGGGGTCGTGTGGGTGGCAGCCACTCGATATGTCTCTCTCACATCAATGTTTCTCTCTCTCTCTTCCTCCCTTTCTCCGTCCCGCTCTATCTCAAGATAAATGCAAAAAAAAAAAAAAATGTCCTTGAGTGAGGATAAAAAAAAATATTTAACATCACAGTAGTGGAACAAATAAGAATTATGCACCACTTTATAAGATGCAATAAGAACACAGCATCCCTTCTGTGACATTCCTGCCAAAGATTCATGTCCTGAATCTAATCTTGGGGAAGCATCAAACAAACCAAATTGAGTGAAATTCCAAAAAAGAAGTGGCCTATAATCTTCAAAAGTGTCAAGGTCATGAAAGTCAGAGAAAGTCTAAGGAACTGCTCCTGACATGATAACTAAATGCAACATGGGCTTCAGGGATGGATCCTTCTGCTATAAAGTCCCACTGGCAAAAGGTGAAGGGGGCTGAGGATTAGACAGTCTAATGCACCAGTGTTAATTTCATGACATTGATGGTTGTATTGTGGTTCTGTAGGAGAAGGTCCTTGTTTGTAGGAAATAGACATGAAAATATCTGGGGGGTGATGTGCATGTAAGCAACATACTTTCACATGATTCAGGGAAGAACAAGTCTTTGTACTTGTCTGCAACTTTTCTGTAAATTTAAGATTTTTTAAAAAGTTATTAGAGCCCAGCTGGTGTGGCTCAGTGGCTGAGCATCAATCCATGCACTAAGAGGTCACCGGTTCAATTCCTGGTCAGGGCATATGCCCAGGTTGTGGGCCTGAGCCCCAGTGGGGGGCATGCAGGAGGTGGCTAATCGATGTTCTCTCTCATCGATGTTTCTATCTCTCTCTCCCTCTCCCTTCCTCTCTCTCTAAAATCAATAAAGAAAACAAAATTTTTAAATTAAAATAAAAGTTATTAGAAAGGAGACTTAATCAGATTATAACTGTTACGTAATAATCTACATTTTCGAGAAAAAATTATGACAATTCAGAGGTAGCCCTTTTTTCCTGCTCTTTTACAATATCCTCATCGGTGCAAGTTAACAAATAAAAAAATCACTTTCTAGCCATAGAATTCAATGTATAGCTCTAAGTATTCATATAGAAATAATATCAGTACCTCCTAAACTGTCAAGATCCTCAAGAATTCTGCCAAATCTGTGAAATAAAGAAAACAGGGATTAAATGAAAATCATGATAGCCCCGTAAAAATAAATAACATTGGGGTGATGAAAATGTTCTAAAATTAATTGTGGTGATGGTTGCACAACTCTCTAAATACACTAAAAACCATAGAATTGCACACTTTAAATAGGCGAATGGTATGGTGTGTGAATGACATCTCAAAGTTGCAATAACAAAAGGAAATGAAACAAAGACAAATAAATGACAAATAAAAATAGTGCTATGTTACCTTACGGTGTTTTGAACAGTCAAATACTTCTCTCGTAATTCAGGCTGACTCCCCAAAGGCAAAAGAACTTCGACATAACTGTCTTTCATTTTCCTTGGTGGCAGTCCGTCCTGTGACTTCACCAAAAAACTATTAAGTAATTTTCTTTCCTCCATTGCTTTCATATGATCTCTGAGAAGAAAGGATGAAAGTTTCATGAAAGACAGGAGTGATGCTGTCCCAGAATTCCAGTGACATACAGGCCAGACAGGCACCATCAAAGGAGGGAAGAGAAGGTCTGGACCTACCTCATCTCCTCTTCCTTCCCTCCCTTCACTCCTGCTACTTGGTGAAATTAAAGTTTTCTGTTAAAGCCCTGGCCGGTTTGGCTCAGCGGTTAAAGCGTTGGCCTGCGGTCCAGAGAGACCCAGGTTCGGTTCCCACTAGGGGTGCGTGCCTCGGTTGCAGTTTGTCCCTGGCCCTGGTTGGGTTGTGCGGGTGGCAGCCACTCGATGTGTCCCTTTCATGTCGATGTTTGTCTCTCTCTCTCTCTCTTCCTCTCTCTCCCTTCCACTCTGTCTGAACAAAAAATGGAAGAATGTCCTCGGGCGAGGATAAAAAAAAATTTTTTGTTAAAATTTCTTAGGCTAGTAGATAAGAAAAACATACTTATAAATGATCATGGATATACCCAAATGAACCATATATTCACCTTCATCAAAAAGTATATTCAAATAATAGAATATTTGAAACACAGAGATAGACACAATACTATACATACATATATGGGTTAAAGAATGACATGGTCACTGAACTCTGTATTCCCATTTCTCACTTTGACAGTTTCCATATCCTCTGTGCCCCATACCTCTCTCTCTCTCTCTCCCTCCCTCCCTCCCTCTCCCTCTCTCCCTCTCACTTCAATTTCAGGGAAAAGAGACAGAGGAAGAAAAATTGGAGTATATCCAAAAGAAGTATGGAAGGCAGAGCAAAAGGTAAAGAGAAAGAGAACATAAGGAGACCGAAAAGGAAGAAAAATAAGAGACAAGGTGAAAGAGAAGGGAAAGACGAGGGAATAGGAAACTAAAATGTTGACAATATCACTAAATAAGATATCTTTTTAAGCTTCACTTATGAAGTATTTATTATTGCCAGAAAGGTTTAGCCTGAAAAAAATACAGGGGATAGAGGAACAAGTTAAATGACACCAGGTAAATCCAGAATGTGAATCATTCGACAAAACAAATGGCTTGGTCTCTTTAAAGTCAAGCTCATGGAGATAAAAAAAAAGGGGGGGGTTGCTGTCTATTATTCTAGATTAGGGGGGACTAAACAGCTGTAACTGCAATATGCAATCCTTTATTGGATCTTGATGTTTTTGTTTTTTTTTAATCCTCACCCGAGGACATTTTTCGATATTTTGTTCAGATAGAGTGGGAGGGAGAGAGAGAGAAACATCGATGTGAAAGGGACACATCGAGTGGCTGCCACCCGCACGACCCAACCAGGGCCGGGGACAAACTGCAACTGAGGTACATGCCCTTAGCAGGAACTGAACCCGGGTCTCTCTGGACCACAGGCCAACGCTCTAACCGCTGAGCCAAATCGGCCAGGGCTGGATCTTGATGTTTTTTAAAAAGCTAGTCCCACGTGCAAACCTGCGAGCTCTGGGGAAGTGATTTTAGAAAAAAAATAATAAAGGCTATAAAAGACAGCTGAGGAGTCCTGGCCGGTTTGGCTCAGCAGTTAGAGCGTCGGCCTGTGGTCCAGAGAGACCCGGGTTTGGTTCTCGCTAAGGGCATGTACCTCGGTTGCAGTTTGTCCCCGACCCTGGTTGGGTCGTGCGGGTGGCAGCCACTCGAAGTGTACCTTTCACATCAATCTTTCTCTCTCTCTCTCTCTCTCTCTCTCTGTTCCTCTCTCTCCCTCCAGCTCTATCTGAACAAAAAATGAAAAAAATGTCCTCGGGTGAGGATAAAAAAAAAAAAAGACAGCTGAGGGACAGTTGAGGAATTATGAATATAAATGCGTAATATACTATTAGGGAATTACTGTTAATTTCACTATGTAGCAGAATGTCTTATTTGTTAAAGATACATGACAGCTGATTTTGTTACATAGAATACATTTATTTATTGGAGACGTATGCTGAAGTATCATGATACCTATAATTAACTTAGAAATGGTTCAGCCAATATGTGTATATTAGCAAATCTCAGAAAATGTTAAGTATCCAATCCAGATGCTTAGTATGTAGGTATTCTTTTTCCTAGTTTTCAGTAAATTAAAATTTTCCTATAAAGAAGTCATTAGATGATTTTTATACCAACAATAGATTATTTTTAAATTGATTTTAGAGGGCAAGAAAGAGAGGGAGGGGGAGGGGGAGAGTGGGAGAGAAGGAGAGAGACAGAGAAGAATCATCAATTTGTTGTTCCACTTATTTACAAATTTATGGGTTGATTCTGTATCTTCCCTGACCAGGGATCGAACCCACAACCTTGGTGTATTGGGACAACACTCTAACCAACTGAGTTACCTGGCCAGGACACCAACAACAGATTATTGTATGTGAGCAGTTGTACTTTTCATCTCATTTCAGCCTCAAAATTCTGTGCACTGAAAGAAATATCCTATTTTACAGCAAGAAAATACTGAAAGAAAAACACTGTATGGGAATCTGATTAATTGTGAAGTAACAAGCAATGATGTAGTCAGGTTGCATGAAAAAGAAAAACCAGGAAACTTGGGTTCACGTCCCAAACCCTGATAACCGTTCAATCTCTCTGACTTTTTTCATCTTACATTTTAAAAAAGGGATAGGAACATGTGCCATAAGCCTCTCACAAGTTTTGTTGAGAACCAGTGAAGTCATATACCTGAATGCACTTTGAAACATATGAAGTACATGTAAATCACATTATTTTATGACAATAATGCATCAACTGATGAGTATGTTAGAATGTTGATCTTCTCCCTCAAGTTAAAAAAACCTCTCAACTCACTTCCATACACAGGGACCTCCAACCCTACAATGAGACCATCAACTGAGCCTAAATACAGCTTAGCATACCACTTCAGGGATGAAAGAATACACAAGAGTGCGTACCTCCAGTTTGTGGATACTCCTACTATCTCCCGCAACTTATCTCGAACTGAAACAAAAATAAAGAGGTCATCCCTTGAAACAAAGACATATGAGAATTGAATTATGGCAACAAGCATAAGAACTATGAAAAGCGATTCATGTACTCAAAAACTTTAAAGATCCATGAATTTCTATTTAATGCCACAAAAATAGTTCAGAGAAAGGTTCAGGCCTCTGCTTCCTGAAAATGTGAAACAACTGTTGTCTCCTTAGTACAGAAAAGAATACCCTTGTGCCAATCACTGGGGTTTACATAACCAAACAAAAAAAGATAACTCCAATTATTCATCTAATGGGGCTGTATCAGTGTTAGTAGGAGTCCCTCTATGATGGAGATACTATGAACAGAATCCCCACCTATTTTCTTATAGGCAGTAGATCAAATTACTTAGTTCAGGGACTGACAATAATATCCAAATCTGACTATCATTTTCATTGACTTCTCATATATTTATATAAATAACTATCCTAACTGTTAGAGAAGCTTAAGCCAGAAAAATAAAGCAAAGATGTAAATCAAGGAAAGGCAAAGAATACGATTTAATTTTAATGTCCACTGCCCAAAAGAGGAAAAAAGAATGAAGGTTAAAAAAAAAATAATAAGCACTTAGTTGATACTAATTACCACACACACTATTGTTCATGTGCAGAGGTGAAGATGCTATATGGATAAAGGGAAAATAAATTAGATAAACAGTAGTAATTCAAAATTAAAAAGTAAATCTACAGGATTTCAAACGACGTATATTGAGTTTGTGTTTTTTTCCCTATCATTTAAAAATATATATTCCATTTAGAGGAAATGAATGGCCCTTCAATAACTAACTGATCAAAACCAAGTATGGTTAGATTAACATGCACTTACCTTTCATTAAAAAATGGTTGATTTTTCTGTCAAATAATTGTTATATGTCATAAATCTAGTGAAAACTCTAATTACAAATAAACACAGAGAACTGAAAAAAATAATTAGTAAATCAGTCTTATTTGTTTTTTTTTTTTCCTTCTGAGTTCCTTGAATAGAAGAATGAACAGAAAATACCCCAAACAGCATACACACTATTGATGCTCACTAACATAAAATGATTATTACTAGTTTAGTCAGTATAAGAAGAAAGGCCAGTGCTGAGGGCCAAGAAGGAAAACAGAAATTTAAATCATATTTATACATATATTTATGTGGACCCTTTAAAGAAGCCACAATTTTAATTATAATAAATATTCCTAAATTAATAAAGACATCCATAGTTTGTATATCAGATTAGTAATTAACATTAATTTCAATTAAACATGGATTAAACAGGGTCCCTCTAACAAAAGTGTGGACTAGGAGCGTTTAGTTGGTACAACTGAAGCACCCATCTCTTACTTATGCATTAGATTTCTTTTTTCTGTGCCTTCCGCTTTAGTACCTGTACACAGGAAGCAGAAATCATATAACTAAAAGAACTCAGTCCCCAAGGTTCCCAGGAACCAAAGCTCAAATTCTGAATGTGATCTCTACCCACAGCTCTCCTGCTCATTTTATAAATGAGAAGTTTATAAAAGGTCTACCTTTAGTATGTCTCATTTGCCCTAAAGTATCTATCTGTACGCCAAATAAAACCGGGATTTTAACCATATGAGCCTAAAAAGTAAACACCCATGCTTGCCTTCATGAATGTGGAAGACTCTCTGTTTTTCAGGATTCTGGAATCCTTGAGTCAGTCCTCTGACAGGAGTAAGTAGCCCCTTGTTCAAGGTATGAAGCCTACAAAACAAGAATAAACACACTTAGAGTAGGTTCCATAACTTCTTCCCTGGCAACCCCAAAGATCTGTGCCTCGTTCCAGAGCACCTGGCTGTCCCACATCCTTAGCATATATATAGTCATTCACCAAATAACATTTCAGTCAACGACAGACCGCATATACAACAGTGATATACCATAGAGCCCAAGAGTGTAGTAGGCTATACCATCTGGGTTTGTGTTGTGTAAGTTCACTCTATAATGTTCGCACAATGACATAATCACCTAACAATGCATTTCTCAGAAATATCCCTGTCATTAAGCAGTGTATGCCTGTACTATATATTGCCTGTACTTGTTTCTCAAGTGTGTGCATATTTGCATATGAGGCTATTCTATAAATGATCTCTCCAACTGGAGTAAACATTTCTTTTTTAATTTTTCAACTGCAATTTACATTTAATATTATGTTGTATTAGTTTCAGGTGTACAGCATAGTGGTTAGACAATCATATACTTTATAAAGTGTTTCCCATGATATTTCCAGTACCCACCTGGCCCATACAGTTATTATAATAATATTGACTATATTCACTTTGCTGTACTTTACATCCTGTGACTATTTTGCAGCTACCAATTTGTAGTTCTCAGTCCCTTCACCACTTTCACCCAGTCCCCCAACACCCCTCCTCTCTGGCAACCATCAGTCTCGGAGTAAACATTTTTCTTTTCTTTTTTTTTTTTCATATCTTTATTGATTTTTAGAGAGCAAGGAAGGGAGGTGGAGAGAGAAAGAAACATCGATGTCAGTGTGAATCATGGGTCAGCTGCCTCCTGCTCACCCCCTACCGAGGATGGAAATCGAGCCTGGAACCCCAGGTATGTGCCCTGACCAGGAATCAAACCGACAACCTTTCAGTGCTTGGGACGACTCCCAACCAACTGAGCCACACTGGCCAGGGCTCAGAATAAACATTTCTTGAGAGCAGAGACCAAGTAGGTAACTATGTACAAAATACATGAAAGATATCAACTAGGTTTAATGGATTTATTCTTGCTCTTTCTATTTTATTAGCTTCAGAAGCCCAGAATCGATTTGGTAAATTAATAAATTCATTATGAACATTTATTTTGTTCATTATCACACCATATTTCCTCCATAGATAAGCTAAACCCAATTATAAGTTAATCAACTTTGAAAACAGAATTAACCCTTTCAAGATTCAAAGACAGTATTTGTGGCACTTAGGCAGAAATCTCCTAATCCCCAGTGAAATAAAATAAACGTTATTTACCCAAATGCGCCTATTTGGGTATTTATATCCAAATACCCTATTCTCACAAAATAAGTTATTTAGGTTGGCTTTGATTCACTATTGCTTTAAGTGTTGACTCCTAACCATACACTATCATATCATGAATAACACACATATAATATTAGGGATTGACAAACTGATCTGTTGAGAGTACATGTGAAGAAGGCAAGACACTGAAGAGGTCATGAACCCTAAATACTGTTACTCATTCTAGTTCAAGTTACTAGTAAATTCTTCCTACCTAATGCCAGAACAGTGATGACTGCCCCCACATACATAAAGTATATTTTTAATTTTCTTTTTTTTTTAATCCTTACCTGAGGACATTTTTGCATCTATATTCAGATAGAGCAGGAGGGAGAGAGAGAGGAAAAGAAAGAGAGAAACATCGATGTGAGAGAGACACATCGACCGACTGCCACCCACACAACCCCAACCGGGGCCAGGGACAAACTGCAACTGAGGTACATGCCCTTAGCGGAAACCAAACCTGGGTCTCTCTGGTCCGTGGGCCGATGCTCTAACTGCTGAGCCAAACCAGCCAGGGCTAATTTTAATTTTCTTTAGAACCCAACTTCACTATAGGTTTCTCTTCAGAATTATATACAGCATTCAGAAAAAGTCTCTCAGTAAAATTACTTGGTAAGATCTACATGTAATGCCTTAGCCATCCAGTCATCACACTAGCTGTTATATAATCCCTGCTGGTCCACTAAGATCAGAATGCTTGCTGGAGTATTTGGGGTTTGGGTTTTGTGTTTATTCTTTAATCAAATAGTTAATAAGCCTCTCTAGCTTATACATTTTGAATTTATTTTTTCACAATAAACTTTCCATTTCTGTACTTTTATAGGTATATTAACATTTCAGTCTTCTAACTCTTGACCTAATGTGCATTTTCTCAGAACATAATCTGAATTTTCTTTTGTTCTCACAATTTCACCTTATGTGTTTTCTATAGGTTCAAATCCCTTATTGAAGAAAACAGTCCTTCATTCTGCCTTCTCAGAAACTAGCATTCTGCAACTGAATGTATCGGGGTTTGTTTGTTTGTTTAATTTTTTTTTTTTATTGATTTGAGAGAGAGAGACAGGCAGACAGAGAAAAACATTGATATGTTGTTCTACTTACTTATGCATTCATTGGCTGTTTCTTTTCTTTTCTTTTTTTGTCCTCACCCGAAGACGTTTTTCCACTTTTTTATTCAGATAGAGCGGAAGGGAGAGAGAGAGAGAGAAACATCGACGTGAAAGGGACACATCGAGTGGCTGCCACCCACACAACCCAACCAGGGCCGGGGACCAAATGCAACCAAAGTACATGCCCTTAGCGGGAACCGAACCCAGGCCTCTGTGGACCACAGGCTGACGCTCTAACCGCTGAGCCAAACTGGCCAGGGCTGTATCGGGTTTTTAAAAGCACAATGGAAAATGCCCTGGCTGGTTTTGTTCAGCGGTTAGGACCGTGGAGTCCCAGGTTCGATTCCAGCCAAGGGCACATACCTCAGTTGCAGTTAGTCCCTGACCTCAGTTGGGGTTGTGCGAGTGGCAACCAATCGATGTGTCTCTCTCACATAGATGTTTCTCTCTCTCTCTCTCTCTCTCTCTCTCTCTCTCTGTCTCTCTCTCCCCCCTCCCCCACTCCATGTAAAAATAGCCTCGGGTGAGGATAAAAAAAAATAAAAATAAAAAGCACACTGGAAAAAACTAATATTGTAACAATGCAGAATTATAACCCACCCCACCATTCTTTTGACACTGTTTCTGTAAATGCTGACTCTGACTAATATGTAGCTTATAGGTAAACAGCATGTTTGTGTAAGAATCCTAACAACTAAAAAAAGAAAAAGAAAAAGAAACATGAATATATAGTGTTGTGTTCTGTTTACACCAAAAACATTCTTAAAGATTACTCTTTGGTGTTATATGTTACACAATAAAATGTACATAAATAAAAAAATTAAAAAAAAATAATCCTAACAACTAACTTCAGAAGATATAGACTCCAACCTTCAGTCATCAAGCTCTAGGAGAATTGGCGACCTTCAACCATAAAACCAGGATGATGACAACCAGGATGATGCACACCAGACCATCACTTCAACAGAATAGACTGTGTTGGTCTGCACACAGAGAACTTTTCACCTCCCCCCCTTGATCTCTTTGTTCTGCTTTCCCTCTCCCTCCTTATAAAAATCTCTGCCTGCACTGAGGAGGGAAGATGGGCTTTGGACAAGAGTCCCCGATCTTCTCAGGTGGCCAACACTTAAATAAACCTCATTCCTTTTTCATTAGCACCTGTCTCACAAGTTTGGCTTTCGTGGTGGCAAGCAGCCAAAACTTGGTTTCAGTTACAATATTTTTCATTGGTACTATTAGCTGAAAGAGCAAAAAAATCATGCCCTCAATATATTAATTTTCAGTTATAATAACTGCAGTAGATGCTCCCAATATAACAAATGAGACCTGACTTTGAGTCACTAAATATTTTGAATACTCATCACAAACTAACAGGAGGTACATAACCATCTCACATATTTGGGTAAATACAGATATACACAAGCATTTTTGTTTGTTACCCTAAGAAGCAGCACTTTCTGAAGAGTGATGAAAACCATCCCATCCTGCCTGAGTAAGAGGCAGTATAGTACAGAGGTTACAAGCCTGAATACACTGTTGGTTAACTGAGTGACCTTGGGCAAGTTACCTAACCTCTCTGAGCTTCAGTTTCTTCATCTGTAAAATGGGGATAATGACAATACCTATCCCATAGGACTGTCATAAAGATAAAGAAGTTAATACCTGTTAAACCCTTAGAAGCATGCCTGATATACTGACAAGTCCTCAAAAAAAAAAAAAAATCAGCCATTACTATTACAAAAAGTCATGCTTCCACAAAGTATCCCCTAAAAGTAAAAAAGGACCAGAAATTTAGAAAGCATAAGCTATACATCATGGCGGGCCATCTCTGAATAGTGAATCAAATGGAGATAGTAAAGAGAGTTGATGAATACAGAGAAACACTTGTGCCAAATTATTTGGAAAACTGTGGTCCTGCAGTCCTATTCTTTGCATACTTAAGAAATTTGGAAAGATATCCCTGTAACAGAACAAAGGCATAATCTGAACACTTTTTTTAAAAAATTGTTGACTACTAATCATATATTGGTATAACAAATTTATATTACTCTGTGAACATTCAGTTTATGATAACTTTCAATTTAGTATCCTGTCTACTGATAATCTGATGAAAACTGGCATATAAAAATGGTATATATTATTTCAGAAGGTTCACAGACCACCCTCTTTTGACACTCCCATAAACCCTTATATATAAAAATTCTGATTCAGACCAACCCCCTGAATAACCTGAGGTCCAAAGAAATTAGATGCCTTTTCCCAGTGCCAGTCAACTAGATAGACCCCAGTTCTTCCGATCTTACTCCCATACATACGTATGTACATGAGTACACACACACACACACACACACACACACACAGTTGCTCTTTTCACAATTTCAGCTATTTCCCTTTATATATGCAGTAGTGAGGTGGAGGGAGAGGGAGAATGATTTGATCACTACTCAACACCTGGGTAGCTTATTCCCTGATAAGCCTTCAGGAGTTTTAGAGCAAAACCCCTAGGCCTTTAAAAGAAACTGTCAAGAGGCTTTAGGGACACTCAGGACCTAGCACTCCCCGACTGAACCTTTCCGGTGAAAAGACACCAAGGAGCCCAAACTCTCCATGGCTTGCTTAGGGAGTCACAGAAGTCACCTAAAGATGTGAACATAAGTGTCCTGGCTCTGTTCTGGGTCCCAAGCTTAGGGTGGGTATCTGGGAAGATGTTTCAATACAATAACAATGCCACTCATGCCCTCCACTCTGAAGGAATGTCTAAATTTAGAGACTAAACAAAGTCAGGTGGCTCTTTTGTGAGAGGAAAGAAAAAAAGCTCCAAAGATTGCCCACCAATCAAATAACCTAATCATCTCAGTCCGTATTCACTGATGAACTCTCTCTCATTAGACACTAAGAGAGTACCTTCTTACGGTTCAATAGGACTCACAAGATAGGAATGCAAGCTTATGGGCGTTCAGTGCAAAGAAAGAGGACTTCCAAATTGGGGGAGAGGAGATCAAGGTTTCCTGGGAGAAGGCACAGAGGCAAGACTGTGGAGCTTGTAAAGGGCCTTTCACATCATGTCGAATGCAAGCTCGAGTCAACTGTGGTCCTCCTTTTAAGCTTTCAACCTGTCTTCAAATAGTGTAACAGTTTATTTTTTTTTAACCGTTTTTATTACTTTTTAAGTGCTATAGACAAGAGAGACACACACACAGAAAACTTTTTTCAACCAATAGCAAGGTCCACAGGAACATGAGACAACCAGGATTCCCAAGAGAATTGATAGGGATCAGTGTCAGAACCACTATGGTCCACACCAGAGGGGCTGGGGCACCTTGTAGCAGGATGATTCCAGAAGCCAGAATAGTGGGGAGCCCCCTGGGAGCAGCAAGGCAGAAAGAACTTGGAACAGCTGGAGTGCTCCAGTGAAAGGGTTTGGGAGAGGGCCAGCCATGCCCTGGAATCTAAAGCCTTAAGCTTTAACTGGGCAAGCTGGGTTGATGACATATATAAAATAGCATCCTCTTCGTACATGTGACCCAATCAAAGTCCTCCACTCTTGCCTTGCTGTGCATTAAAGGTAAAGTTCAGATCAGTACCAGGGATCCTCGTCCTAGTCATGAGAGCCCAGTCTCTGCGCGCGCGCGCGCGCGCGCGCACACACACACACACACTATAACACACTTAAGTCTGAGTCCAAGTGGGCCAGGTACTTAACCCTAAAAAACGTTCTCCAAATGAGGGCAAAGGTCTGAGACAGTAATATGTAATTCCAAACACCCGCTTTCTGACAACGGGCTACCCCCAAGCTACACCCTTGATGAGCACACGTAAAGGAATTTCAGGGAACACCCAACTTCCTCCCTTGAAGTGCCGCTTCGCTTTCAATATCGCACTCAAAGCCAGGAGACGCTCAAGTGGGCGGCTCAGTGCCCCACCCGAGGCGGGGCCCGGCGCGGTCGCGGCAGGTGGGCGCCCTTCCCACCCGGCCTCACTTTCTGCCCAAATGCCCACGCGTTAGTCCCGCCCGCCGCCAGCCCTGTCCTTCCGCCCTGGCCCGCGAGCAGCGCAGGGGCCAGGCGCAGGCGCCCCCCAGCTACTTACCGAAGCCCCACACGCCTCATCGCGCTCTGCCGCTGCGCGCGTGACCGGACCCCCGGACCCCACGCGCCGGTCGGCGGAGAGAAGTAGCAGCGGTGGCGAGTACGCGCAAGTGCGACAGCAAGCGCCAGAGCGGGACCAGAACTCGCTTCTCGGGACCGCACCCCGGCAGCCAGGCCGCCTGGGGGTGGACCCCTCCACTCCCGTTGCCTGGGGGCGGGGCCTCGCTGCCTGGGGGCGGGATCACGCTAAGCCTGCAGCTCAGCTCATTGGCGGGAAACCGGAGTCCGTCTCCGTGGAACTTCCCACTCAATCAGCCTCGCGCAGCGCTTTACTAATCAAGGGGCCGGCCTAACCCCGCCTTTGATGACTCAATGCGCCACAGAGCGAGACCAGGGTGTGACATGGGGCGAATTGCGGCCATGTCCTTAGAGCTGGTCGCCGTTATCCCTCTTCGCTGAAGGCCACGCGACTTTACCGCGCCTCGGCTCCTGGTCCATGATTCTTGCCTTTAGCTGTACGTTGGCATCTTCTGGGCAGTTTTCCAAACTACTGATTCCTAGGCCCCACGCTGTGGAGACTCTTGATTTAGTCAGTCAGGGATGTGGCCTGGTCTTCAGGATGTCTGAAGGCGCCCCAGGTGATGCTAAAGAAAGCAAAGGCCGCCCTGGCCGGTTTGGCTCAGCGGTTGGAACGTCGGCCTGTGGTACAGAGAGACCCGGGTTCAGTTCCCGCTAAGGGCACGTACCTCGGTTGCAGTTTGTCCCCGGCCCTGGTTGGTCGTGCGGGTGGCAGCCACTCGATGTGTCCCTTCACGTCGATGTTTCTCTCTCTCTCTTCCTCCCTCTCCCTCCCGCTCTATCTGAACAAAATATAGAAAAATGTCCTCGGGTGAGGATAAAAAAAACTAAAAAAAAAAAGCAAAGGCTGAGAACCACTCACCTAAAGGGGCAAAAGCTGTTCCTTTTCTAATCTCGGCCTGCCCTCTAGTGTTGAAAAGTTGGAGATCTTGGCAGGCCCAAAGAAATTCAAGGTCACAGCGTTAAGATAATTTTGTCCTAGGGCCTTATTCTCCATTTCATTCAACGAATTCTTATTGAGCTGTTTGCAGCGAGCCAGGCGTCCTTGCAGATGCTGGGGATGCAACAAAACAGATAAAAATTCCTGCCTTTCCGGGGGCTTATCTTGCAGGAAAGGAAAACAAGTCAGCAAGCAAGTTAGCAAATAACATTTCAAACATGGTAAAACGGTCTAAAGAGGAAATGAAACAAGGTAATGCTAGGAGATCTTTCGAGAAGATAGTAATTTCCTAGAAGACAGGGTCCATATTGTGTACTTCTCTCGATAACTCATGTTTAACAAAAATGTGCCGATTTTAATTAAGCTGTCTTTTTTAATTTGTTTGTTAATCCCCACCTGAGGATATTTTTTCCATTGATTTTTAGAGAGAGTGGAAAGAAGGGAAGGAGGAGGGGCTAGAGAAAGAGAGAAACATGATGTGACATAGATTGATTGCCTTCCACATGCACCCTGACCAGGGTGGGGATCAAACTTGCAACCCAGGTACCTGCTCTTGGCTGGGAATTGAACCCATGCCCTTTGGTCCTTGGGCCAACGCTCTAACCACTGAACTACACTGGCCAGGCTAAGCTGGCTTTTTAAAAAGTCATTTCATAAATTATGAAATTATGTCAACATTAAAAATTGTAATACAAAATAAGTAAATAAAAATAAAAGTTTGCCAAAAATGAATTAAACAATTTAATTTTGAAACTAAGTTTGGCACTACTTCAGGAAGTAGCTCTTTAAAAAATAAAAAATAGTAAATCATTTCAGAAATGATAAGTGGAACATGGTCTTTGGCTTTCTCTTTCCTCTCCACCTCACTTTCCCTTTAATCAGTCCCACATCCAGAAGATTCTCCTTTTGGCCTGCAGGGATGTCTCCTTTATTTGTGTTCGTATTGTCTGTACCTTTTCAGTGATGGTTTGGTTTTGCTTTGTGTCAGCTATACTTCTTTATACTCCACCACACCTAACACAGTGCAATAAATATTTTATTGAATTATATTCTTTGGTTTTCTTGGTTTTTTGTTTTGTTTTGTTTGTGTTTTTTTTGTTGTTTGTTTTTTTTATCCTCACCCGAGGACATTTTTCCATTTTTTGTTCAGGTAGAGTGGGAGGGAGAGAGAGGAACAGAGAGAGAGAGAGAAACATCGATGTGAAAGGAACTCATCGAGTGGCTGCCACCCGCACAACCGACCAGGGCCGGGGACAAACTGCAACCGAGGTACGCGCCCTTAGCGGAAACCGAACCCAGGTCTCTCAGGACCGCAGGCGGATGCTCTAACCGCTGAGCCAAACAGGCCAGGGCGGTTTTCTTGTTTTTATTTGAACTTTTATTTTAGGTTTAGGCAATGGGAGGTTCAGGGAGAAACATTAAGATCAAGAGAATTTTCCAGGTTACATAGATGGCATAATAATGGGGTGGGAAAGCTTATAATTTTTGTGCAATCAAATCACCTTCCAGCCAGACACATTCTCATCAGTGTATAAACAGTATCAATTTGGATTGGAACAGCTGGAAGCAGGGACTCAATGCCATGAAGATGCCCTTTCTCCAATGCTTTTCTTTGCTTTCTTTTGCGCACTGGCTTCATTGTGTGTGTGCATGTGTGAATCACTGTCCTTAAGTAACAGATGTGACAAAAGAAGTTCCTGACCTTTACATCTTACAACCACAGCCATATGCATAGAGATTGACCCAAAAATCTGCATCCCAAGTGCAAAAAGTCCTGAGAAGAAAGTCATTGGCCAAAATGAGATAGGTACACCTCCCTGGACTGGTTGACTGTGGCAGGAGGGAAAGGTCTTATGATTGGCTCATTTGTCTTATCAGGAGCCCCATCACCCAGACCCAGGGCCAGATCAGAATCCACTAACATGGCTATTTCCATAAGTAGCCACTCAGATGGAGACGTGGCGCACTTTTAGAAAAAGGAGTACCAAGCAACCAATCTTATAATGTCCACCGCAGATGTTATTGAAAGAGAGAAAACATGATCTCATCACTTAGCTCATATATCTCAGTTCTAACCTCCGGGAACCTCAGCTAAAACGTAGCCAGCACAGCATTCATCCACGTCTCTAAGATTATTTCAACTGGTAGCATGAATAAAATTCTTAAAACAGCTTAGCAATCCTGATTTCTGTGTCTGGTGGTGGTGTTGTAAAGCACATACTCTATACCAAAGTTTGGTAGCAGGGATTAGAAGACAAAGTGGTCACAAAATCAGAGCAGGAAACATGCAACAGTAGTAGAGTGGTGAGAACCACTGTCCTTAAGTAACAGATTCTCCACCGCACCGTTAGTGTTTCCTGTTATGTTCCATTGGTTCTATTCTGATATGGTGCCAGGATAACAGAGCTGGCATCAAATGTATCATTAAAATAAAATAAAAGGCACCTAAGGATACTTGAACAGATATGAGAGATTATCAATGTCATTACAACAAGTAGAAGAATAAAATCAAATAAAACTTAACAATACATGTTGTCAGTTCCATTTAAAATTATGAGTAAAAAGTATCTAGTAACCATCTTACCTTGGGCTGCTGAACCACATATACTTTTGGATATTTAACTCAGATAAGAAATGTTCTTGGAAAACTATGTCATCAACTTTCAAACAAATTGGCTCATGCTACAATTGCGTTAAGAAAGAGAAAGGGGCCTTGGCCAGTTTGGCTCAGCAGTTAGAGCGTCATCCCACAGACCAGAGAGGCCAGGGTTCGGTTCCCGCTAAGGGCACATACCTCAGTTGCAGTTTGTCCCCGGCCTCGGTTGGGATCGTGTGGGTGGCAACCACTCAATGTGTCTCTCACTTTGATATTTCTCTCTCTCTTCCTTCCTCTCTCCCTCCCACTCTACCTGAAGATAAAATGAAAAAAATAAAAAAGAAAAAGAAAGAAAGAGAAAAGGGCCCAGCTGGTGTGGCTCAGTGGTTGAGCGTCAACCCATGCACTAATAGGTCACCAGTTCAATTCCTGGTCAGGGCACATGCCCAGGTTGTGGGCCCGATCCCCAGTGGGGGGCATGCAGGAGGCGGCCAATCGATGTTCTCTCTCATAGATGTTACTATCTCTCTCTCCCCCTCTCTTCCTCTCTCTCTAAAATCAATAAAGAAAAAAATTTTTTTTAAAGAAAGAGAAAAGGCAGGAGGGGATGGGAGTGGGAAGAGGGGGTCAATGGGGAAAAAAGGGGGACATCTGTAATACTTTCAACAAAAAATAATAAATTTTTAAAAAGAAAGAGAAACCACTTTTGTTTTATTTATTTTTAAATATGTTTTTATTAATTCTTTTTTTAGAGAGAGACATCGATGTGAGAAACATTGATAGGCTGCCTCTTGCACGCCCCCTACTGGGGATCAAGCCTGAAACCCAGGCATGTGCCCTGACCAGCAATCAAGCCAGGACCTCTCAGTCCATGGGATGTCACTCAATCCACTGAGCCACACCAGCCAGGCAGAAAAACCACTTTTAAAAAATTATCTTATTTCCCAATTATAGAGATTATACAAAAGGACATAGAATAAAGTTGGGAGGGGGGAGAAGGAAACAATGGAAAGGTATTTTCCCTCTAAACCGTAAAGAAAATAACTGGAAAGACCAGTGAGCTGTTACATGAATCCTTAGTATTTTACCGTACACTTGCTCCAACAGAGGCAAAACCCAGGCTACGTGATTTTGATATGGCAGTAATTTTTATCACTTTCCCTACCTTCCTAAGCTCCACTTTTTTTTTTATCCTCACCCGAGGACATTTTTTGATATTTTGTTCAGATGGAGTGGGAGGGGGGAGAGAGAGAGAGAGAAACATCGATGTGAAAGGGACACATCGAGTGGCTGCCACCCACACGACCTAACCGGGGCCGGGGACAAACTGCAACCGAGGTACGTGCCCTTAGCGGGAACCGAACCCGAGTCTCTCCAGACCGCAGGCCAACACTCTAACCACTGAGCCAAACCGGCCAGGGCCTAAGCTCCATTTTTATGACAGCTCCTAAAATCCAAGTGCTGAAAGGTTTGTGTCTTCAGCAATGTTCTTTTTCCTCTGACAATTTCCTCTTGCTCAAAAATGGCAAATATTCAAAACATGTCATACTATTAGTGACAAGGGATCACAGGTCCTCTTTAGGATAGGACATCTGCATTTCAGGTTGTCATCTTCAATAAAGATGTCTCTTTCAATAAAATAGGGCTTAAATGGTAAAATTTCAATGGCCGTTTCCCCTATCCACACCTAACTTTGCAATCATTCTTCACCTTGCCGTGCCCACCCTCCTTCCCATTTAAACCAGTTTCTCCAACAAATGTGGTTCTTTTCCATTTATTCCTCACTCTGCATCCTATTTCTCCCCATTCTCTTGCCCACCGACTGTCCATCATTGTTTTTTCACACCACCCCAACTGCTACCATCCCAGCTGGAAATGAAGCCTCCCTTCAGACTCCAGGGCAGCCTGTTCAGCTGGACCAGTGTACAAACCCTGCTGTTTCTCAGCCCAAGGAAAACCAACAAGTACCTCCAATACTATCACAGCTGCACCAGTATGCAGGGAACAAAGTGTAAACATACTTCACCATCTCTGCAAAAGCTCATGCTTCAGAGTCCACACAAGCTTTTGAAATTTACTTTACAATGAGAATTTGTATATCTTATAGATGCTAAAATTATGATGGTTGTTTGAATTTACATAGCATTCTTTCAGGTGTAAATTTGTATTTTGTGCTATCTGGAGAAGGGGCTGCACAAAAATAGAGTGAGCCCTGGCCAGTGTGGCTCAGTTGGTTGAGTATTGTCCCATCCACAGAGAGGTTGCTGGTTTGATTCCCTGTCAGGGCACATGCCCAGGTTGTGGGTTTGATCCCCAGCAGAGAGCATGCAGGAGGCAGCCGATTGATGCTTCTCTCTCATCAGTGTTTCCCTCTCCTTCCCTCCGTCTCTCTCTCTCTCTCTCTCTCTCTCTCTCTCTCTCTCTCTCTCTCTCAAATCAATTTAAAAAAAAAAAACATTTTAAGAAATAGAGTGATACCAGTAGTATTAGTTTACTTTAAGAAGTACTGACATGATTC